GCATACGTGGCACTGCTCAAGCCAACGCAACTTAGTGCTATCTGTTGTTCTAGGGAGCTAGCATGATTATCTAGTACTCGTCTATGCACATCATCGTTGCGGACACGCTGGTGCCATCCGACACCAGCAATGCTTCGCAGACAACGATGATTAAAGATTTGGAATGAGGCAATCATAGAGGGATCAGTTTGATTTCGATTGCCTCTAAATTGCTTGCCTCTATCATTCTCCACAAACTGACTGGCACTCGTGAAAGCCTGATTCGTGAAGAGCAGGCAGGATTTCGTCGAGGTCGGAGCTGCATCGACCACATCTTCACCTTGCGTCAAGTGTTGGAGCACCGCCATGTTTATTGGCAACCCACCGTTGTTGTGTTTCTTGACATAAAAGGTACCTTCGACTCAGTCGATCGATGTGCCCTTTGAGACTGTCTGTTGAGGAAAGGTGTGCTTGAGAAATATGTAAACATTAGCAAAGCGCAGTACGCACATAGTTCGGGCAGGGTGAGGGTTTATGGCAAACTGTCGCCATCCTTCAGTATCACCAGCGGTGTGAGACAAGGATGCCCGCTGTCACCTTTCCTCTTCAACTTCGCTATTGACGAAGTCATGGAAACAGCGTTCGCTGGACACGACCTAGAAGGTGTGGAGCTACTTCCTGGTGAGCGACTTCTTGACTTGGAGTATGCGGACGATATTGCCCTAATATGTGACAGCTCCCAAACATGCCAAACAGCACTGGACCGATTAGCACTGGCTGTCAATCGTTTTGGGCTATGCTTTGCTCCATCGAAATGCAACATACTTCTCCAAGATTGGCAGGGATCCAACCCTGCGCTAACACTTGGTGGTGATCTGCTAGAACTCGTCCAGGAATTCAAGTACCTGGGCAGCTATATTAGCACCCGTGGGATTGAAGATGAGGTTACGAGGCGTATAGCAAAAGCGCGAGGTGCTTTTGCCAATCTCCGCCACCTGTGGCGCAGACGCGACATTACTCTCGCCCTGAAGGACAGAGTTTACAACGCAGCCGTCCGTTCAACTCTACTATACGGCTGTGAAACCTGGCCCATCAGGTCGACAGACAGAAAGAAGCTCGTCATATTCGATAATCGCTGCCTTCGCAGCTTAGCTCATGTCTGGTGGGAGCACCGCGTGAGCAATGAGCGTGTTCGACGTCGCGTATTTGGTACAGGAAGAGCGACTGAACCGCTCAGCACCATTATATCACGCACCAGGCTCCGATGGCTGGGCCACGTGTTGCGCATGCCAGCACACCGACTCCCGCGACGTGCCTTGTTTGCGCGCCGAGGGTGTGGATGGAAGAAGAGGAGGGGTGGCCAAGCGATGACTAGGTCGAGAGAGATAAAATCCCTCACTTCGAAGTTGGCGTCGGTTGGTGCATCCCGACTGCCTGACTGGGGTCCTAAGGATGGTGAACACGTTTGGTTGGACACACTTGCTGATATGGCTTGGAGCCGACCCCAATGGCGCTTGTGTTGTGAGTTCCTATGTCCATCTCCCTCCTGCTTAGCATCCCTCTCCAATGACGATCTCAATCGTTAGGCATAATATAACTTTTTTACGGCAAGATAGCCAGCTGTTAGCTCTCCGGAACGATGTCCATCCGTTACTGGAGACTCAGTGGGCGTGCTACAGTTTGTTTTCCTTTTCTTGTCTTTTGTATTGCGGCACAATAGCTGAGGTGTTTTCCACCTCCAGCTAACCTGTAATGATGATGATGATGGCGCCTCAGATCTTCAGACCGAAGGGGCCAAGTGCCACTACCAAAAAGCAGGATGGCCCACACTGTACACATGGTCCTTCAGACGAACGGAAACTCCCTTCTGTCGCCACAAACGCCGCAGGTTCAAGAAGACAACTCTGGCCTTTGCAATCCATGAGCTGACGTTAGTTTCTATGTGCCCTTCGTTGCTGATGTAGCTACCAAGGTAAGTGAATCGTTATCAAGGGTCAAAGGATCATCAAGTGGCTGACGGTCCTGCAAGAACACCGCACTTAAAAGGTGCGAAGGGCATGCTAAATAATGGGACCACTCTAGACAGACTATTCAGGGTTGAATGTGCCGCCCCAACATCGTCAAAAAGCAAACCGATATTGTCCGCATAATCAAGATTATTTAAGCTTTCACCAGGCAGCACCTCATCGCCAAGATCAAGAGATTCCGCAAGGGAACACTCTATGATAGTCCACGACGAAATGGAATGAAAACGAGGGAATCAGAGAACCCTGACGAACGCCACTTGTGGTCGGAAAGCTATCCGACAGGTCGCCGTAGATCTGACGCGGCCTGTAGTGTTCGAGTATAGAGTACGTAGAATGTTCATATATTTCGTGGGAAAACCTTTCTGCGTAAGTATTTTGAAGAGAATGCATCGATCGACTGAGTCGAATGCACTCTCGAATCAAGGAACACAGCTATTGTCGGCCTGCAGTATATGTAGCGCAGCTCTAGCACCTGCCGAGGAAGAAATATATCGTTTTGATAGCCACGTCCAGGGCGGAAACTTGCCAGTTCTTCCGTAATCCGAGATTACCGTTCTAAAGTGAGGCGAGGAACGAGAATTGAGGCCAGTAATTTTGTCACAACGCGTTAAGGTAATACTCCGGTGGTTAACACAGTTTGTGCGTCTGTCCTCGTATATTGCTACTATAATCGATTCGCCCCAATTAGCCGGGACACTCTTCCTTCCAGATACGTTTAAATAGGGAGGTCAGTGCTTTGCAGAATACTTCACCTCCATTCTTAAATAGTGCAGGTGGGAGGAAATCCGGGTCAGCAGCACGAAAATGATTGAGAGCAATGATCGCGCTTCGGCCTCCGACGGAGACTCTGAACTGACCGTCCATGGCTTGTCCTGCATAACCTGAGTAAGAAGAGGTCAGGGAGCAAGGGGCCAGCTGAATTGATCTTGAAAATGTTCCGCCCAACGAGCCATACGGCGCTCCTTATTGTGTATCACTGCACCCACACTGTCTCTGATTATCTCACTGACACCTGGTTACCTGGCACCAGTGGTGCAGATGGGCTAGAGGAGCTTGTGTTAATTGCCTACTGGTACATTGGTAATATATATATTATATATTACACACAATCTGTGGTACAGATATTGTGCCATCGGAATCATGGCTGAATAGGAAAACAATATGAATAATAAGAAAAGAGCAACAAGAAATGCTTTTTTTGTCAAGTTTACCACTCACAGTTTTTGAAATTTTTTTTTCAGTTTGTCCGCCATTGACATCGATCTTGAGCCATAACTTCCAAGGTTTTCAACCAGCAAGTATCCTCGTCTCTCGGACCCCAACCAGGTAGTCGACAACAACCGGCCGAGGCCAATTGTTTCGTCAACTTTTTCATGCGGCTTCTCCATGTTGTAGGCTGTCCACCAGACCGTCTCTTCCAGCCCTGTCCAGCAAGTGCAAACAACGCACGACGGGGGTAACGCTGGACAGGCATGCGCAATACGTGTCCCAACCACCGCAGTTGATGCAGTGAGATGAGCTCCTCGAGCGAGTGGCCTCCACGTCCCAAGACACGCTGTCTAACTTCCACATTGCTTACGTGGTGCTGCCACCACACACGGGCAATGGACCGCAGACAGCGGTGCTCGAAGACGGATAGCCTGCGCAAGTCATCTTTACGAATGGGCCAGGTCTCGCATCCGTACAACAGTACAGCACGAACAGTTGCACAATAGACCCGCCCTTTGATGGAGAGACGAATGTCGTGGCGACGCCACAAATGCCTCAGCCTAGAAAAAGCGAGGCGTGCTTTCGAGATGCGCATCGAAATCTCGTCTCCAACAGCCCCGCCAGCAGTGATACAACTTCCCAAGTAGACAAAGCTCTCCACAACCTCCAGTGTCTCACCAGCAAGCGTGAGTGCAGGCAGAGGCACCTGCCAGTCTTGAAGGAGAGCCTTGCATTTGGATGGCGAAAAGCACATACCATACTTTGATGCTTCAATCGTCAAGCGGTTTAATGCAAGTTGGACGACCTGTGGATCGTCACCTAGCAAGACGATATCATCAGCATAATCCAAATCAACAACTCGACTACCTGGGAGGAGCTCAACGCCAGCGTTCAACGAATCGCTCAGAGCGTTCTTCAGGACATCCTCAATAGCAAAGTTGAATAGGAACGGAGAGATAGGGCATCCTTGTCGAACTCCACTGGAGACCACAAAGGTAGGCGAAAGCATGCCATAAGCCCTAACCCTGCCCGAGGTCAGACTGTACAGAGCGCGCAGTATGGAGACGAACTTCTCGGGGACACCGTTCCTCAGAAGGCACTGCCACAGTACTGTACGATCGACAGAATCGAAGGCAGCACGGATATCCAGGAACACAGCAATCGTTGGCCTCTGATACACATGGCGGAGCTCGAGGATCTGGCGAAGTGTGAAGATTTGATCGATGCAGCCGCGACCAGGGCGAAACCCAGCTTGTTCTTCTCGCTGCAACGATTCGCGTGTTGGGGGTACATTGGTAGTCAAAGTTGGCAGATAGAACTGAACACGAGGGTTTCACGGGAGTAAATCGCAGTAGCAGCTTGTGACGCGAAGGATTACGAGCCTACCTTGTAATCCGAGAGCGCGGGTTCGACTCTGAATAGGGAACCTGATGACCCTCGAAGTACCCTTGGCCACGCGCGACTGTTAGTTGCGCGGCAGCGAAGCGTTGGTACTGCGTACCGAGGTTTGCTGGTTCCTTTATTACGTAAGTCTACTAAGCGTAATTACGACACAAATGAAAAGGAGTTTTATCCAATAGTAGGATGACAGAAATGAGCAGGCAACTGCAAGCTCTGGCCAGATGTAAGACAATCGTTGGCACTCCATGACCAGTTTCTGCAGAGTGGTCGGTTACACGGGGGCACAAAACAGCGAAGTAACAGCAATTTGTCTAGTTAAGCCCTTAGTAAGCAGTTTAAAGTACAGATAACAAGAGTATGCTGTTGTAATCAAAGAGAACCCACTTGTTCAACTTCATGACACAATTTGAGTGACTCGCCGAACCTTGACGACTCCTTGTGAGCACGTGCGCATTCGGTTAAGAACCACATGCACTGCATTTCGGAGAGATACTCAGCAGCCGAAGTGTTACCCTAAATACTCCAATTACACTATTTTAAACATACTCTAGTGAATTTAGAAGCCATGGCCAATGCGTCATCAATACGATAAGCCTGTACCATATATTTTGTACACCGAGCATTGATAAATCGGTCTGCAGTATCAAGAGACTGAGCTTCTTCCATCCAACGGCTTGCTGTAATAGCATCTCCGGCAGCATTATATACATCAGCTTTCAATACGTAAAAGTCCACTAAGGTGGGAGTACAGGACAGTTGAGAATCGATCAGCTCCAAAGCTTCCTAAGATCAGTATGCAAGGATGAAGGGTAACAAACCTGATATCGTCCAGTAAAACTCAGAAACTGCGCTTTTAGATAATTTAACCACACATAAGTGGAAGGTGGTTCAACAGCGTTAGGATCTGGGTGTAGGGAACTGTAAAGGTCCATGTTCTCTGTATACTGACATAAAAGACTTTCCAAAGCACGCAGTTTATCCGGACACGACCACAGACTTTTGAGCTGAATAAAGAGAGGTGGCGCTCCTTTTGACAAATAGCGCTTTAGATAAGAATCCAACCGAACGGTGAATTCGTTGTCTGAGGCAACAAAATACAAGCAAACATGTGGTTTACCTGAATATGACCTTAGAATAAGGCGTTCAGCAAGGTGTGATCTCGGGTAACGCTCAATAATTTCCGTTAAAACTTTCACAAAGAGTGGGTCAGCAGACTCTTCCCAATCGTTAATGCCATTTGCTTTGAAGAGTAAATCGAAAAACGAACGATTTTCCGGGTTACGGTCGATCAGCTGCCAAGCACAATGCTTTGCATCTTCTAAGTTGCCTAGGTCGAGTAGGATTTTGGCTAAAAGCGATAGATTGCACAGTAAGCTTACCTTTAAGTTCTAATAAGGAGTTCGTGTCTACAATATCCGCAGCGAACTCGTTCAGATGGCTTAAAGCAGCCTCATATCTCTCGGATTCAATCATTAATGTCGCCTGATACAAAACCAATTCACTGGTTTCGTAACCGAGAGAAGATTCTCCTTGAGCTTTTCTGAACTCGCTAAGCGTAGTGAGTGCAGCTTCGTAGTTCCCAAGCATATGATGCACAACGGCGTACCCTATCCATGAAGCCCTTTGACTAGGTCGTAACATCAACAACTTGTACCGGGTATCCTACGGAGTGATTGGACTAAAAGTTCAGTTACCTTGCAGCCTTCATAATCTCTTAGCTGCATTTGAAGTACTGACAAATCTCGAAGAACCTGTAGGTTATCAGGATCGAGTTTTAAAGCCTGAAGATAGCACTTGATGGCCTCTTCGTATTTTCGATCCGACTTCTGGACCAGTCCATATATGTGCCAACCTTTAAATATTAAACAGAAAAGGACGCTTACAAACGAAACTGGATATATTAGCTTTTAGACCGCGTCTGACAAAATCTCGAGCTTCTTCCTTCCGCCCGAGACAGTTGAGGAGAATGCCTTTCATTGCTAAAGTTTCTGTGAAGTGTGAGATTAAAAAATCGTATGCTACCTCCATGCTCAGAAAACTTCGGATTACTGAGAATTTGTTTTGTAAACTTCAACCCGTTTTTATACTGCTTTTGATCATAATATTTCTGCAAAAAGAAAGATTATAAGCAACAGTAGAAATATGTAAACATAAGAAGAAGAATGTTGGCAAACTCACAACAATCCGCTTAAAGATAGACAATTCCTTGGGAGGTAGCGAATTTGGGCTTAAGGGTTTAGCCATAATTGCACAGCATGTGCCGCCAAAACTAGATAAAGGTCGTGTCTTACCTGATGCTCTAAAACAAAAGCGCATGGTCAACTGAGTGCGTGCTGGTTAGGAATTAAATGTGTGTTCTAGATGCCCGTTTCTGTTATCATAAACACAATTGGGTAGTTTTAAACAGAATTTTGTACCTTTCCTCATCATATGACTTAACCGTATCTTTCGACCGCTTTCCCGTTAATCCTTTGATTTTTTTCCTCTATTACTTACTTCACGAAACTAGCATAGCAGGGACTGCTAGTGCAAGGAACATGAGCATTAAATTGGTGAACCAGTGTGTGTTTCGGATGCTTTGTTTTTAGATCCAACGTGAAGTCGAAGCTCAAGTACTCAAGCTCCTGCGTGCCCTGAATTCCACCATAGCTTCCGGGTTAGATGCCCTCCAACCCTAACTTTCGTACCAGCTGGCTGAGTTGCTGCATAAACGGGTTAAACGTATCTTTGGAAAGCCCCTTCCTAGCTGCTCAATACTTGCTAGCTTGAGAAATGCAATCATGCTCCCTATTTTCAAAAAGGGTGATAAGCACCTACCTAAAATTATAGACCGTTTAGCCTAATAGTGTACTAGTGAAAGTATTGAAGAAGCTAGTAAGAGACGCGCTGATGAAGCACTTGGCTAAGTTCAGTTGGCTCAGCCCGGTTCAATATGGGTTTAACTAACATGTTGGTTGCAAGGGAGTGTTAGGTTGAGGATTTGAATATGGGACAGACGGTGGAGGTTTTGTTCATCGACTTCTCTAAAGTCTTTGACATCGTACCGCCTTGTCCTCTTTTGTTTAACTTAGAATCCTACGGCGTCTCAGGCCATGTATTGAAGTGTATTGCGGCTTTCCTGGTAGGAAGGCAGATAAACGTTCGAGTGGGTTCCGTTTTGTCTTTCAGACAAACCGTCCTGAGTTGTATTTCTCAAGCGTCGTTTCTGGGACTTCTACTGTTTGCCTTGTATGTCACTGACCTCCCTGAGCAGCGTAAGGTCCCGTCCCCTATATTTGCGGATGAGTTAAAATGTTAAAATACAGTCAGCGATTCTTTTAGACCCACGGCTTTGCAGACAGCACCGACAAGCTTTAAGCGTGGTCAGAATTGTGGCAGCTGCCAGTCACTCTTGCGAAGTTTCCGGCCCTGCGCATAGAATCAAGCACTTCCACAACTCCTCGTGTACTTGGCGAAAATGTAGTGCGTCAGGTGACTGAACAAATCAACTTCGGTATCTCGCTAACCTCTGACTTCAACTCCAGCGAGAATTGAACGAATGCTACCAGTAAGGGTTTTCGAATGCTGTGGATGATCCGCGGGTCGTTAGGCATCCTAAGAAATAAATTATTTGTTATAGTATTCTCAGCCTTTGTCAGGCCATACTTGGAGTACTGCGTTCAGGAGTTCCTCCATGCTTGGTAAGCCATAAGTCGTCACTTGTACGAGTTCTGATGGTTGTCACATAGATGGTATATCATGGAGGCATCTCTCGTAGCTTGCTAAGCTGCTCAGGTTGCAGAGATTTTCAATTCACTATAAGCGCCTTCATGGAGACCTGCTGCTTACGTACTGTACCTTGACCGGCAGGATTGGGCCTGCTCTAACTAGATTGTTCCATCCAGCGAAGAGAAAACGTCCTCGTGTTCCCCTCCGAAGTTGCATGAGCCCAGATCTAATTGGGTTACAGTTGACTTTCTTTTATCTCGCGGGGTCATCAAACCATGGAACGCACTTCCCAACGAAGTTGTATTAGCGCCGTAGGTGAAGACGTTTGAGCACGGAATCGACGCACTTGTGTTGCAATTTCAGACCCTACCGTTTTCTTCTTAACTTCACATCAACTTCCTTGGCTTATCATAGCTAATATTATTATTGTTAGGTGCACACATTCTCTGCTCTACTACAATTACCATTATTCTGTTTCTGTTGCTTCCATTCTCTTAGCCTTTATTCTTAGTCACGTGGCCTGTACAACTGGAAGGTTATTGCAGGCCGCGTGGGCATTATTTGGTTGACCATGATGTGATCCTTGTGTATTGCTTTGGCTCGCCTCGGGTTCAAAGCTCTCCCGTGAACTCAATTCTGGTTAAACAACGCTTTGAAGATGGAACTCACACGGGAATTTTCCCACTGTTCCTGTCCAAATTGAACTTGAACTTGAACGGGATCAACCACCCGCTCAAGCATTGACACATATGGGATTGATCTAATCGTTTCCGTTTCACCTGCATATGAACTGGAGCTAAGTGAATAATTAAGCAGGGTAAGTAAAACATAAAGTCATCCCGAAACTGGACAAGTCAATAAAGCAATTTATGCACTCAAAACCAATGAATATTCCGCCGTAACACACGCTTTCAGCGATACAGGGTGCAAATAAAATTGGCTTAATGCTTGAGATTGATTAGGTACACCATAACAAAAGCGGGTTCGTTGCTCCTTGGACAAATATGTATTTAGCAGATAAAATTCTTGCTAGTTATTAAAGAGTTGAGCAGAGTTACACTCGCACGTGTGTGTGTGTATACGGATTTGTATTTATGGCTTGTGGACGAGGTTGAGGCAGTTGCATACAATACATCGTGGATGACATTACTGGTGTTCGTAAGTACACTTGAGGTTATTTTCTTGCAAGAAGCAACCTCAGTGAATACAAATATGTCAATGAAAGTAAGTCCCGGTAAACCGCTGCAAAGAAGCGTCTTAAGGACCTGGAGATTAACCTGCAATGCTTGCCAACTCAACAGCAAAAACTACTGTTGCGCAATACTTTCAGTGTGGAAGAACATAAGCAGTGACCATGTGAAAGTTAAACCCTGAGGACAGAGAAAGGTAGTAGATAACCTTTGCATTTTTCTGTATGATCTTTTTATATCGTCTGATCGAGACAGGGCATAGTTAAGCCTAACAAACTAATATTATACCATTGTGAAAGAGTGCAACCACGCACGGAGTGTTGAGTCCCAGTCACAGCTAGAGTGCCTGGTGTTATCCATTGCGACTGTGCAGTAAAACACATTATTGCATCTTGAGGCATTTAGCGGAGGCTCGCTTGCTTGAAACCATAAAGTTATACAGTTAGGAGTGGCTTGCAAATTGCTTGCAGAGATTGTCGTAGGTTGGTAGACGTCCAGAAAAACGTTTGCGCCTTTAAGCCGCTTAAAGTATGGTAAAAGAAGGATACTGTTAAGGTAGATCATGAAGAACCCAGGTGATTTTAAGTAAATAAGTAAGCAAATAAGGAGTTTAGTCTCGAGTTCATCGCGGCATACCAAATCAGGCCTGGGCAAGACTATATAGGCGAGGCTGCTTCCCATCAGTCACGTTGCTTTGCAAGACTTTGGCTAAGGGAAAAATATATGGTAGTTACTGAAACAGGAGAGGTACTGGCCAGGAAATGACTACGCAGCCATCTGATGATTGGTTGGATTTAGTTGTGTGTGATAAGTGACCAACAGTAAGTGCGTAATACATGGACTGGTGACGGAATACACGGATTAAGAAGTAGCTCTGTAGTATACAGTAAAACTATTGAAATGTATTGAACTGTAGCGAAATGACGCTCTGATACAAATACCAATGTGAATTTGTGGTCAGTGATCTTATCCAGTGCCGAGTCATATCCGCCACATCGGTGTAGTTAAACGGACATTAGTGGATTTAAAACGAAAACGTTCGCCAGGAGAATCTCGCCACTTCCGGGAACACTACAGCCAACGATGAGGACCTATTGCCCACAAATCAGGTAAGCTGAGTACCACTGTTAAAAAATTTTCATATTTGATGGACGAGGTAAGGATGTATTTCACTAGGGAGAAGACATTTAGGCAGTTATCTCTTGGCTACGGAACAAAGGTTTCGCTGTAGTCCAATAACGGACCCAGATGATTGAGCTTCTATTTTCATAGGCTGACCGAACTAAGTGCACAACGCAGGCTACGCCGTCCTGGTCTGACCATGAACTAAGCTAGGCAAATTGAAGAGGATCAGTTAATTAGTGCTTTGTTAATATCCCATCGAGTATGCATTTTTCGAACACTTTTACTGCCACCGAACTACAGGCAATAATTCGATATTTGCTTCAAGCAACTTTTGGTTTTGGCGTGATATTGGAAAAGACAACTATATTTGGTTGGATTCATAAACTGTATATGGCAGGCAAAGCTTTGACAAAGCAGTCAGCACATTCCTTAGAGACAACAAACGACAGGCGGTCAGAAGCACTTGCGTTCCCTGGGTTTATCTGTTTCTACCATTGTGTAGGATGCTGGGGTCGAAGGGGGTATTCTGTTGCATGATCCAGTTCAACTGGAATCGGAACAACAAGTAAAATTCCAGCAGTTGCTTCTTCTGGAATGGATCACCGTGACATACGTATGTAATGCTTGCAGTCTAAGTGAGTCAGCCAAGCACACATTACTCGCACCGGGTTCAGTTACATAAAGAATATTTTAACTACACTGCCAGTCCGCATCACACCGGAACTGTGAAATATCAAACAAACTACGGAAGCAATTAAAGCACTGAGGTAAGGAAAAGGATGTAGCATAGCAGAATACTGTTAAGTGAGCAAAGCCATGAAGCGAACCATCTAGAACTTATAGCCAGGGGCATCAAGTTGATAACCTTTCGGTTTCACCGTTGACAACAGAACCCCTTCCTCGGACAACCAATTCTAGGAAGACAATAGGCTTTGCAATAAACGAAAGTTTGTGCCGCCTTCACAAGCTCGAGGCGTGTGTGACGGCATCAGCTGGCCCCGGGGCGACCGGCTACCAAATGGCTGACATAGCCAAAATAAAACCGCCGGTTTGCTGCGTCAATGTGCTTAAGCTCAAGCTTAACTCACCGCAGTGGAGGTGGTTCTGCATTTATAACATTATTACTTTTCGCAGTCTTTCTGGTCAGAAGCATCCTGCAGCCTACCCGCCACATTGTACGGCGGTGCAAGCCAGTGACAAGTAGTGCTTTGGAACGACAACAAATAGGAGAGCAGTGACGCCCCAAAGCGGTGGATCTACTCTTTT